ACAATATGTTTCCTTCCTTCCATTTGTAAACTTTAGAGAAAACAGCTTTTTTAATCTTGAGAAATGTCATAGCATGGCTAGAATAAGAATGAGCAAACCTCCTCTCGCTTCTTTCCTTCCACACATGATAAATAGTATAAATTATGAGATAGTAAAATCTCTTTGAATGTAAATAAGTGGGGCATTCTTCAACCCAATCAAACAATTGCAACAGACTTGGTCTAAGCAGAATTGAGGAGCAAGCAGGAATCAAAGAGGTAATAATGTTGTGCGTATAGGAGCATTCAAAGAAAAGATGCATAGAGCTTTCATCATAGGTATGGCACAAAGAACATGTTAAGTCAACCAAAATATTACGTTTGTTAAGCTCCGAAGAAGTTTTAAGGCCTCCTACTAAAGCTAACCAGCAGAAAACCGAATATCTTAAGACATGTCCCTTGTGCCAAATAAAAATATACCAGTTGCAAAGAGGTAGGGACTTGTAAAATTCCATAATAAATTTCTTAAATTTAGATGTAGTAGAATTTCCCCAAAAGAGGCATTTTGAATCTTGTTCATGAATAATAACCTTGCAAATCTCATCAAAAACAGTTGGGCTAAGGAGGCATGGGAAACACCAGCTCCTCCCAATAATATACTTGCTACATAGGTGCAACTAACAGCCAAAAAAAGTACTGCAGCAATGGAATCATACAGATGGCTTTAGTTACACCAATAATCCCAAAGAAAAGAAACAGGGAAGTTGGGAGTAATGTAAAATTTAAAAGTAGATTTAGCTATAGAAGCAGTAGAGCAAATAGCTTTCCAAAACTTAGTAGCCATATAATCAGGCAGTTTCCATGGTGAGGTATATTTAGAGAGAAGCCAAGAAGCTAATGGAGAAGTGCTGTTGTAAATCCTGATAATGAGAGAGCAATTAAAACCAAATTGTAGAGCAGGTATGGAGGGTAAGCCAAGCCCACCAACATCTTTTGGCTTATAGACATTGTGCCAAGCGACAAGATGCAGTTTTTTGCTTGCCAGTGTGTCCCCAAAAAATAAACATTTAGAGGCTACCTTTTTGAAAAATTTCATTACTCCCTTAGACAGAATTGAGCCTCTTATCCAATAGGCAATTGAATTGAGAATAATGAATTTTAATAACTGCAAGCGCCCCGCAAAGGATAATAGATTGGCATTCCAACCCAAAAATTTTCTAGTGATTGTACCATAAGCAGGGAAAAATCTGTAACCATAAGCCTTCTGAAAGAAATCGAAATCCCAAGATACGTGATAAGGTCCTTAGGGCTCGAAAGAGAAAGAGCTCTACAAATAAGACCAACATTGTGAAAGTTCTTAGGAATTAGAATAGAGCTCTTATCATAGTTGACATGAAGACCATAAGCAGAAGCAAATAAGTTTAAGTGATTCTTTAAGGCATTGCAATTTTGGAGAGAAGGCTCACCAAAAATAAGCAAATCATCTGCATAAAGAAAATGACTAATAGTTAAGTTACCAAAAGAAGCTCCCACAAAGTTACCGTTATCAATCAGAGAGGAAAAGAATCCATTACAATGCAAAATAGGTACAGGCTTAAAGGGCATCCTTGGCGAAGACCTGCATATGAGGGAAAAACCCCCTCAAGTGCACCATTTACCACAATAAAAAAATTGACATTGGTAATGCAATTCTTAGTCCAATGAATGAATTGCTTAGGCAATACTTTTTGTTGCATTCTAGCAAGAAGGAATTATCTAGAAACCGTATCAAAAGCTTTTTGAATGTCAAATTTAGCGCAGAAGAGATTATGAGCCCCTTTTTCGTAGTAGTAAGCAATTCTTGAGCTAAAATAATGTTGTCAATGGAAACTCTATAGATTGAATAAAGCTAGCTTGGTTTTCTTTCACAATAAGGGGCATGATGGGCTTTAATCTAGTGGCAAGGATCTTAGCAATGATTTTGTAAATCACATTACAAAGTGCTATTGGTCTAAAATCAGTAAAGGAGGAGGAATGTTTGGTTTTGGGAATGAGAGCCAAGGCAGTCAATTTTATAGTAGGAGACAAATAACCTTTAAAAAAAAAGGATTTAACAGCTTTACATACAGAAGAGCCTATAATGTGCCAACTCGTTTTTGTAGAAATGATAATTAAAGTCATCATGTCCCAAAGTGGAAGAATCAGCACCAGTAAAAACCACATTTTTTATCTTTGCATCAATGACAGAAAATGTCAAGGGATCCAAAAAATTAGGGGGAAGAGTGTTACCAGTGGGGAAGAGATCCATGTTTATAGACTCCAGGGGGATGGGTTATAAAGAGTGTTGAAGTGTTGTACGATCTCATTAATAGCCTCAGATCTCATGGAGTGCAAAGAAGTTTCCATGTTTAAAAGAGCATTACTAGATGTCACCCGTCTGTGAATTTTTGCATATAAATATTTAAGATTGTCTTCATCTTGAGAGAGCCAAGAGGATTTAGCCCTCTGAATGATCCACGAGGCTTGAAGAGAAGTAAAATCCGAGATCTATTTGGAAGTGCTTTTAAGGGAAGCATTAGAAGGATGCACCAAAATCTGCTCCAAGTAAAAAGATTGCTTAGCATGAAGGTTATCCAAGAAAAAATTGATAGAATTAGAACTTTCCCAAGGTTGCCATTTTAAACCACTTTTCATTTTCCTGAGCTTGGAGCAGAAATTAGCCATAGGATTACCATAAGTATGAGCTGAAAAAATATCTAAAAGAATACCCCAAAAATTATCAATAGATGTCCAGTAATTCTTAAAAAGAAATCTATGATGAGAGGGATTGGATTCTGTTGTCTGAAGAATTAAAGGACAATGGTCAGAGCAGGAGGGAGCTTGCACCGAATAATATGTGGAAAGGTGACATTCCAGTTAGCATTCATGAGGACTCTATCCAGTTTGATGTGAATGGGGCTATCAATTCTTTGATTATACCAGATATAAGTACTACCAACAGATTGAAGTTCTTCTAGCTTGGCATCAAAAATCATGTGATTTAACTCCCATAGTATGGTATGGCTCAAGGCATTACCACCTAATTTATCAATGGAAAATCTACAACAGTTAAAGTCCCCATGATGATCCAGGGAGAATTTTGATCAGGTGTAGAAGATCTGATAGAGTCCCAAAAACGGGACCGGTCAACACATCATTAGCTGCATAAATCACAGAAAGTGTAAAAGGCGGGTTGTTACCATACGAACCAAGCCTGAGATTCATCTGTGCAGAGACGTGAGTAGGAGAGAAATTAATATTGGAAGAGTTCCACTTGATCCATATACGCCCAGAAGAAGAGAGCTCAAAATTGTGACAATAATCCTCAAACAGGAGGACCTTATGATTTTCAAAAAAGAAGGGATCTTAAAGAGAAGAAACATGAATCCATTTCTCGAAGATTCACATCATGCTAACTTTAAATGAATCAATCAAACGCTTGCAACAGAGAACCTTGTCTGGATTATTAAAACCCCTAAAATTCCTGCAGGCAATGATGGGCAAGGACATGGTTATTTATGAGAGGAAGGGGGTTTCTTGGCTTGCTTCCCCTTAGCAATTTTGGTGGATTGAGGTCGGTTGGAGATGGGAGGGTGATCGACATCTACAACATTGGCAACTGTTTCTTTGGCTGAGATAAGGCTAGTAGCTTAAAAGCCCTGTTCCTCTTCGAGGAGCTGCAAGCTAGGCATCAAATTTATTGGGAGATTGGATTTTGGTAGGAGGCGGGAATACTGGCATATGAGTGGAGGTAGATGAGGAAGCCTCATCAGTTGGTGAATTTAAGTTAGGCAAGTTCAGAGCTGGTAGTTCATCGGTGGGAATAGTGGGCAAGACAGGGGGACCTTAGGCATAGATGGTAAGGAGGGAGCTTCGGTTTGCTGGGGAGGGTGGACAGTAGTAGGTTGCAGTTGCACCAAGGGAATTGATGAAGCCGTAGTGGGGGTGGGGGGGGGATGGAGAGAGGAGGCCTTGCGTAGGGGGGTTTTAAGGGGGAAGCAGCAGGGCCAGGAGGTCTGGTAGGTGGTTTTCTACTCCTACTCTGGCCACGAAAAGAATTACCCCACGGCTCTGGAGGACCTTGGGTAGCAGCAGAGGCTGGTTTTTTTAGGAAGACAGAGGAGGAATGAACTAAGGATTTGCAAAATTCACATATAGTAGGCTTCCATTCATATTGAATTTTTAAGCTAAATACCTCCTCTTCAATAGAGATTAGGATTTCTTCTGGGAAGGTAGAGTCTGTCGTTACCTGAATGCAAACACGAGCAAAGGTGAGACGGGTCCTTTGAGCAGTGAGAGCGTCAACGACAAGCAGGATTCTTATTTTTCTTGCGATGCGCGAGATCCCGTCGGAATTCCAACACACCAACGGTAGGTCGTGAATCTTTACCCAAGGAATAGAATAGACATTTTCATGTTTTGGGGGAAATTTAGGGGACCATTTCTGGAGGAGAAACGGCTTACCCATGAAGAACCACAAACCTTGGACCAGGCCATCTCATAGTCCTTAGTGGTGGAAAAATGAAGCAGGAAGAAGCCTTCAGAGAGGGATAAAAGCTAGAACGAGCCTTTTAGAGTGCAATGATAGATTTAACTACTCTGTATGTGTCAATGCTTGATTTCTAAATTCTAATAAACCAAATGAGCTCTAATGTTGAACAAAATAGTGGCCATATAATTTGTTATTAGTTACATGAATACAAATAAAAAAAACCAAATGAGCTCATATATCTGGGATCTTTTGGTTGATCATAATTTCGAAGGTTTCGGATGATCTATTTCAAATGTAATATATATTATTTGTTACTAATCTCTCTATTTTTTCTCTTAACTGTGTGAGATTTGTTCCTTCAATTGAAAAATTAATTATAGATACGCAGGTAATTAATCATTGAATTTTCTATATATTTTTTTTATTATTAAGATTTTTTCTTGCCTTCAAAAAAAAGGAAAGCAATGAGAGAACACGAAAATTTTAATTAACTCGCACACAATTTTTTGCAGGCCAATATTGCATAGATATGCAAATGAAGATGTTTCTTTGGGTTCATGGCTAATTGGCTTGGACGTGCAGCACATAGATGATCGAACTATGTGCTGTGGAACTCCTCCAGGTTTTGCTTTGAACATATTTTATATTTCTTACATATATATATTTATTTATTTATTTATGTCCGTAGAATTAGCCATTAAAAAAATATCTATTTTTTTAATTTGGATTAACGATATGCTGATTTGCGTGCACTGCAGATTGCGAGTGGAAAATGCAAGCGGGAAATGTTTGTGTGGCATCATTTGATTGGTCCTGCAGTGGGATATGCAAATCGGTGGACAAGATGAAAGATGTCCATAATGCTTGTGGAGAAGGTGATGGTGCAATTTGGAATGTTTCTATATAAGAAGAAATAATTTTACAGTTTATGAATTGGTAAACTTTATTTGATTTTGTTTGAACTTTGTATTATAAGATGACCAGAGAATTGGTTGGGCATGTAATGCCTTGCAACTTCTATTACTGAAGTTACAAACCACAATTACAGTTGGTTATAAGAAATAATAGATTTAAAAATGATATGTCCTAATCAACATTGTTTAATTGGTTGTGTGCAACAGCTAAGTTTTTGATATATTCTCCATTAACAGTTCTTTAGGTACCAATCAGTAGTTAAGTTTTGAAAATCCCTAAGCCCTTAAGTTCAAATTCCATGGAATAATAAATAAAGAGAATTTTGGTTGCAAGAATTATTGATGATTTGAATATATTTCTTTTATATATTCTTCTCTTTTTATCGTAACTTTATTGAAAACTTTAAGAGCCAAAGGTGGATTCACATTAGGTTCATTTGATTTAAGTGTTTTTATTGTGTGTGTGAGTGTTGGATCTTATTTTTTTTGTGTGACACCTGATCTTACTAGCAAGTGGTCTTGAGATGTAATGTGGGATCCGAGTGGGTTCACAATAAGTATGGTGAATATGAATGTTGTGGGTTTTGTTAGAGATTAATTGGGAATTCTATAGAAAGAATTGGAAACTAAAAAATCAAAATTGGTGCAAAGACATAGAGGATCCAAAGGGTCTAAAAAGATCCCAAGCATGCATCTTCACCCTTTATTTTAAAGATTGTGGGCTACAAGAAAGGCAATACCTAAGAAAATAAAAAATATCACAAAGTACAATAGAAGACGTGACACATTTCAAACTTTCATGGACACATAGCTTAGCAAATCATCCCCCACAAGAATTTCTACTTAAAATATAACTCTCAATCTTGTGGTGAGTCCTCTAAGATAGTTTTAAGAGCGAGTGTAGAGTATGAGTTTTCGTGAGCAAGTGTAGAGGGTGAGTCCTCAAGTTTCGATATATATAACAATCCACGAAGATGAATCTCCTAGAAGTTGTGGAGAGTTCATCTTAGATTTGGTTCTAACTTTGAAGGAAAGGGTAAATTCTCTTTTGTGGATATACGTTGAAGGGAAACAATTATATGAATATGAGAGATTCTTTTATTGTGTTTGGATTTTTTTTTTTAACTGAGATGGTGATATAGGACACTATTGAGTGACTTTGGAAATCAATAGTGTACATGGATGAATGACCCTTGTTGGTACGAGTGGTAATTGTTGCATGAATCAATCTAGACACGCCTCCTTTGGGGAATAGCTGGTTGGGGAAACTCGTTATAATGACAAGTTTAGGTGAGTTCACCTATGATGTCTTTACTAACAAAGTGGCCATACTTTCATGTGATTGTGCTGACGAACTTGTTGGCCAATTTCTTTTCCTCATGGTGGATACTCCTGTTGAGAAATATAACTTTTTTGGCCAAGTTCCCTTTGAGGACCTACTAGATTACTCAATAAAACCTACATAGAAATATATATATCCATTTAGTTCTTTGATCCAATTGACCTTTTAAAAGGTAAGTTGCAAATGGACAAGTAAATTAAAGACTAGTATTAATGCTATCACCAAATAGTAAAAAAAAAAAGAATACGTAAAACTTAATGCATTATATTTAATGAATGCCTTAGGACCTTCAGTATTCATTTTCTTTGCTACTTCAATAACAACAGCAGTCAAAGCATCTTCTTCTAACATCTCAGCTCTTTTAGCCCTTCACCACATGCGGCGTGTAATATTCTGGTGTTGAGTTTAGTTATCTCCTAAATACTAGAATATGACCCCATCTCAAAATTTATTAATACAGGAGTTTCAAAAACAATCAAGGACTTTACCTTAGCCACATCAGCTAAATAGGAAAAAGTCAAGCGAGAAAAGACAAAGGGTTTTGTAGCTACTAGAGTAACTATAGACGCACCCTCAACATTGCCCTTGAAAGGAGTTGATCTGATAAATTCGGCGACTTGTGCAACCCATTCAACTTGTTGTGCATTGACAATAACTTGTAAATTGTAAAAAAGCTGATCTTAGTGCCCTTAATAGATTGTGCGTAATCATGATGTTGTTGAAAATCAATTTTTGATATATTTTCTATGATTTAATGAAATCTAAATCAATAACAAAACTTTTTGAATCTATACACTAAATAGTGAATCAGAATATCCCACTGATTTGAATCTGTTTGAAATCTAGGATAAATCCTAAATTGATTAAGGATTTGGAATAGTGAAAAAACCTAACTAAGGACCCAAACCAAAAAGATAATAATCATTGTGAATATTTGGAAGAGGGATTAGGTATGGATTGAAGAATGATTTTGAAATGAAATTAGAATATATTAAGTAAGGACCCTTGCTCAAAAGAATTTAGGTGTACCTAAAAATAGGAGTAAACATGAGTTAAAAAGATTTTATGAGGGGGAGGAGTTAAGAATTTATAATATAAAACTTGAATTTAATACACCAACTTAAAGCTAAACACATGCAAAAATGCAAGATTCCACAGCATGTAAATGTCAGACATCAATCAGGTAGAACCCCTATCAGACCTAGGACCAAATCAATATTTCGGTTGGCCATCCGCTTAGCTTTTAGGATGAAGCCAAGTAACCCTGGATTATGCTCACTCATGTGAGCATGATCATGCAAACTATGGACTCAAAGTAAACAAGCAAATGTAATACAAATGATGATCAAGGCTGGGTTTAACTTGATTAGAGACTTCACAATTAAAAAATCAAATCAAATCGGCAAAATAAAACATAAATCACAGGACTACAAAATTTTAAAATGCACAACAAAAATTTACAAAAAATTTAATAACCCAAACATTTAAATAAACTTATATGAATTTGAAAAAAATTTAGTCAATCGATCCCTAATGGAGTCGCTAGAAAAATCTATGAGAGAAAATATATTTTGATTTTGAAAAAGCTTTTGGGAGTCCCTCAAAAGATTTTTTTTAATTTTAATTTTAATATTTCTTTCAATTAAATCTGCATAGTTAAACATTATACCACCACGAAAGGTAAACTAATATTCTTCTATCGATTTCAAAGAAAGAAACTATAATTTATTTTTTTAATCAGATGCGGTATAGAGAATATACAATTCATCCCAAAGGATAAAAAGCATATTATCCTATCATTTAATTAAATTAGAGAAATAAATTATAAATTTATTTTCATAATCAAATATAGAGGATATTCAATTTATTATGAAAGCAAATCAAATATCCATCTATCTTTTGATTATGAAATTAATTTAAAATAAAGATAAGGTTAATTTGCATTCATAGATTTTCCCATACCTTAGAAAGCAAATTAAGGTAGGGTTTATTTTATTATAGGATCTAAACTCAGGGGCAAGCCCCTATAGTTAATTACATCTCCTAAAAAAAATATTCTAGATTTAAATGAAGACTAGATAATTTTAAAATTAATATAAGTTTAGAGAAATGTGTGGGTTAATTAAATTTCATTGCAACATGCTTTAAATTATAAATTCTAAACATTTGAATTTTGAAATTTTGATTTGAATTTAAAAGAATATGCAAAGAAAAGAGTGTATACAATCTAGACTTGTCACTTGCCTAGAGTGAGATGCAAGCTAACAATCCTAATCACTATAATTACCATATGAATGCAAGATTTAGAAAGTTCTATCCTAGGAATCAAGGAATTGCTAAAGAACTTAAATTAAGTGGAATACAACATGCTTACAAAAAATGAAAATCTTCACGTATAATGCATATGATGTATGAATAACAATATATAAAAGAGTTAATTTTATTAACATAAATTTGCAAAGTATATCCCAGGGTTTATTGTAAAGTAATGTTGGTCGATCAGGCTTTGTTGAGAAAGTTATTACTTAGATTTTGCATATTTTATATTCTTATAACTTATTATTTTGATGATTCCAAATATTATTGTATTGATTATTAATTTCTCCTAACATATTTTGGATGAAGTGTTTTTGGTTCTTATGTGTACTAACATTTCAGAAAAATCATACTCCAGATTGTTGAAGACTTCAAATCAAGATCTGATTATAATGTTTTGTAACTTGGAGTCTATATTTTGTTCATTTTGAATTAAAGAGAGTGTGATTGTAATTGAGCAACTTAACACACACACACTGGGGAGGATCTGCAAAAGTCAAAAATTTTAAAATACTGATCGTACAGGATGAACTATGTTCATACATGACGATCAGGTCAGTTATAATCTCCAAAGAGCAATGGAACAAAAGAACGGGCGAAATTTTTTTCTAAGTCCTAATCGTCCAGATGATTTTACTCTGTTTGTCCCAGGACGATGTTCTCTGGACTCATGCTTTGAACTAATCGTCCAGACGATCTTGACCATTCGTCCCCGGACAATGATCTCTAGACTAATGCTTTGAATTAATTGTCCAGACGATCTTGACCATTTGTCCCTGGACGATGTTCTCTGGACTCATGCTTTGAACTAATCGTCCAGATGATCTTGACCATTCATCCCTGGATGGTGTTCTCTGAACTCATGCTTTGAACTAATCGTCCAGACGATCTTGTCCATTCATCCCAGGACGATGTTCTTTGGACTCATGCTTTGACTTATCGTCTATACGATTTTACCATGTTCGTCCCAGGACGATGTTCTCTTGACTCATGCTTTGAACTAATCATCCAAACGATCTTGTACATTCATCCCAAGACGATTTCCTCTGTTCCTTATAAACATATGGATCGTCCTGCAGTTTCGTTCCAACGAAGCTTGGAAATAACTGTTCGTACCGGATAAACTATGTTTATACGGGATGATGATCGGGTATGAAGGCATTTCATACCAATACACATTGAGTTGGTACACAGCAGTTTTTACACTGTTCGTACGTACGAAATTAGATCGTACGGGACGATCAAGTATGTACATATTTGAAAATTTGTAATTTTTGGACGGTTTTTTGTGTCTTTCTTATAAAAGGTCCATTAAAAATGTCTTGTAATCTTTTT